TATAAGGCATATACCGCCCGCCCCACTTCGCGGTAATATATATCCACCTACTACTACTTGGCCTATAGACAGGCCTAAATTTCGGTACTTCTTCGGCCGAACACCTTCTTAAGGTAGTACTTAAATCAGCTTAATTACGATGATAATAAAAAAAAAAAAGGAAGAATTTTCAAGCAGCAATGATTTATAAAAAGATGCAATGTTGCGCTTTGCTGTTAAATTATATAAAATTTACAGAAAGCTACATGAAGACTAGTATCAGTGGTAGCTTAAATTATAATTAAAAATAAAAATTGAATCCTCCAATAAAAGCGAAAACTTGTCCAAGGAGTCCTGTGCTATGCAAACATGCACAATGGTGCTTTACAAATCAATTAATTGTGCAACTAAAGATTTTAAAGATAAAAATATATTTTAAAGATATAGGCCTAATTGTATTATAATATATTGATTGTTTTAATACATATTTTAAATCAAAACGTTTAAATGATTTACAATTAAATTACAAATCAAAATTTCAATGAATAGTAAATAATGAATAATAAATAATAATAATAATAAATAATAATATTAATAATAAATAATAATACAGTAATAATGATAATAATATTATAACTCACTAATATTATAAACAGAAGTGTGGAGAATGCTGCTATTTTACTTACGAGGCATAGCTTCTTGATTATGAATGATTAGGCATATGTTGTACAAAAATTTCTCTCAATGCAATAATTCTTCAACTTTGATTTATTGTTTAGATTACAATTTACAAATAGGCCTAGGCTATATTTGTTGGTTTGAAGATGACCAGCATATTTTATTTCATAAAATAAAGTTTACGAAGTCATAGGCCTAGATGCCTAGATACAATTAGAAAACTTTCATGTTATTAATATTTTTATCATTCATTTACAGGCGAAATTAATATTATCGCCGACGATTCACAAACCTACTTTGTCTGCACAACCAACCTTTCTCCTCTGCAGTGTTGACTATTCTTAGGAGCCTCATTCTATATAGAGTAGGCTGCTACTGCTAGCAACTAGGTATAGGCCTAGATGATAGACTTTTAAAACAAAAAGATAATCGTAACGAAAAAAAAAAAAAAAGTATCGTCCTCACTTTATCTTCTCGAAATAATACAGCACGTCACTGATTAATTAATTCCAAAGTTAGGTAAATATGATTATACAGTATATGATATTTACAATGATATGTTAAAATCCCATAATTGAATTGTCCTCATGAACAGAATAATGAAAGAAAGTTTATGCAGCATCAGTGTTTTATAAAATGTTATAAAGCTATACGCGCGCACGCTGTTTGGTGACAACATGGCGCCCATGCGCCAAGTTGGCCAAACTCTCTATATCTACGGCTCTGTTTATAAGATCTTTGCTCTAAATTAACTTTCTCGTTGGTGGCGCTGTCCAGAATGAGAAAAATATATTAATAAAAAAATGAGAGATCTTGTGGCAAGTCTAGAGTCTAGTCACGCTCGAGTTTTAGACGGTAGCGTGTAGGCCTAAAAAATGAGGTCAGTAACTTTTGTTGAAAATGTTGAACTAGAATTTGAAGGAAATTTACTTTCAAACGACGTGATTCTAGGAGATGTAAACAATGATGGAGTAAGTATTATATGTTTATAGACTACTGTATATAAGAATACATTTTGTGTACTCTTTCTTTGCAATGTTCAGGCCTCGCTAAAAAGTAAAAAGTAAGCCCAGCCAGGCATGATGAGAAGCCAAGGGCAGACATCAACTCCTGAAGGAGGGGGGCTCTCTACTCAGAGAGTAGGCCTAGCCTAGGCTGAATTTTAATGTGCCTCTAAACGATAGCAAAGAGGGAGTTGAATACAGCCTCATTATCATCATCAGTACTGCAGTGCATATTAGAGGATACATTCCTTAATTTTTTCTTGATTTCCTATTTTAAAATAGGCCTATTTTCCTAGGCCTTTTTCACGCTGCGGTAAACATTTAACATCTTCGATCGATGACAAACAATGCTGAGCAGCGAAGCGTAACCAACAGAAATAACATAGCGTTTCGGCTATATTTTCGGAGGTCATGTTACTCGAAAAAAATCACATATCCTTAACGGGAGGTCGTGTCAACATATTTTTTTCTTTAAAATGTTCGCAAATGATATATCTACGCACAGTATGAATAAAAAAAAATTGAAAATTTGTTTAGTCTGTCAAAACTTAACTGGAAAATAGAAAACCGATTTTGTATAATGCGTGTTGCTATTATTTCAATTAAGTTTTGAGAGATTAAACAAATTTTAATTTTTTTGTTACTCATACAGTACTTAGATATATCCTTTGCGAACATTTTAAAGAAAAAATATGTTGATACGACCCTCCGTTAAGGAGTTATGATTTTTAAAGTAACATGACCTCCGAAAAAATGGCCGGTACGCTAATGATTTTCGGTCGAACAGTGTGAAATAATGGCAATGTGTGTGTTAACACTACACAAAATCGGTCTTTCATTTTCCAGTTTAGTTTTGACAGACTAAACAAATTTTCTATTTTTTTTATTCATACAGTATGTAGATATATCCTTTGTGAACATTTTAAAGAAAAAATTATGTAGATACGGCCCTCCGTTAAGGATTTATAATTTTTTAAGTAACATGACCTCCAAAAATATGGTCGAAAGGCCATATTATTTCTATTGGTTACGCTTTGCTGCTCAGCACTGTTTGTCATCGATCGAAGATGTCTACCACAGCGTGAATAGGCTTAGTGGCCTAATTCGGCCTACGGCCTAGCCTAGGAGAGAACAAGTATTTATAAATAATTATGATATACGCTCCTGCTAGGGTTAAATTACCTTTAACTGAAAATGCTTTATTCAAATTTAAATACTAATGAATATTTGCAAAAGGAAGAGGTTCCCTACTACATGAAGTCATTGACAAGCCAATGAATGTCTTGCTTATTTGTGTCATATTCATGTGTTAAACCTATTGTAAAGATGGTAAGGACAGCATTAACAAATGAATTAACAACAAACAAAACACAACCGATATGAAAATTTTATTACAAATAAAATTGATGTTTTTATATATTTTTTTTTCACATGCATATTTATTTATTTTATTCAGAACTTTATTTTTATATCTTCACTTTGCATATTCAGTCTCCTGAAATTTTTTTTTATAGTTTTCTAAACACAACAATACATTCTTCGTCGCCACAATGACACTTGCTGCCGTGCCTCCTAAACTCTGCCCGCCAATTGGTTATTTTTTTGTGGGGTAGTGTGCAAACATATGCTTTGGTTGTTTTGATATATTTTTTTAACTTTTACAAATACTATCAATAATATTACTGTTGATGCTGTCTATAATGATTTTGATTGATTGCTACCTATACCTACTGTACCTGTTGAAGTTACAGTACTATCTACACAACCAGTATGTCATCTCTGCCATTATTACTACAGTACTTTTACTATTTTATTGTTATTATTGTCTAGCAATATCAGTGCAGTATTTTAAATAGGCCTAATTGATTTAATTTTAAATTTAGATTTTAAAATTTTAACGGTATCTTTACTCAGCATTTTAATTAAATATTTTATAATGTAAAAATTGTATCTTCTTCTTGTCTGTTTATTGTTTTTAGTATTTTATTAGCCATTTTAATGATATTTTATATATATGGAATTACTGTAATGTTTTTATAAAATTTTAATGAATTGAAAATGTACTTTACTGCTATATCCGTATTGGATGAATGAAATTGAATCTGAATCTTAGATTTCTTAGTCTTTTGTGTTTCATACTTTTAGGAACATGAGTTAGTTGTTGGGAATGTTGAAGGTGACTTGAGTATCTTTAAGGGAGATTGTGTCAGTGCCTGGGCAAGATGTACTGGCCTGGGCATGGTAAGTATTGCAAGAACAAATTTGAATTCACTATTTACTGTAGCTGTTTTTATGAACACAAGCATTACGCTTGTAGGTGAGTCAAATTTAAAATCACACCATCAACTGTAGCTGTTTTTAATGAATACATGTGTGTGTGATATGATTGAATGTGTGACTACCAATCCATTTATCCTTACACTCATCCCTGCAAATGCCCCAAACTCAGTTGAATGCAAATCCATTTACAGTATTTGTACTGCTCCAGTTATTGTACAGTACCTTTTTAGTTTATATGTTGATTGTTTTTCATATTTAATAATGTGTTCCTTTTTCCTAGCTTCTATTTTTTTAATATTTCAATAAATACATTTTTACTTTGATTATTATTTTTTACAGATAACATGTGTAGGAATTGGTGATGTTTTTAATAAGCTAAAGGTGAGTGGTCTACAAATCTGTTTTATGGAATTAAGTGTCTTTCATACCAAATTATATGTCAAAATTATCTCCTGTGTATGGATAATACTATAATAAACTCAATTATACATTATGCAGTACTTTCAATTTTATGTTTATCTTTAGAATGTGGTTGTGACTGTAAATGCTGAAGGATGGTGCAATATCTTTCAGTTCAACTCAGAAGAAAAGGTTTGTAAATATTATACAGTAACAAGCTGAGCAAGACAATAACAGGTCATGTTTGTCTAATGATTAAATAAATAAATATAAAACATTGCTCCATTTATATCACTATTTGTGGTAAAGACAAGCCAAACCAGTCACTCCTCGCAAATCCTGTTCAGAGATATTGTCCGAAACATCCTGGAATGTCAAATTTTTTTTAATCTATTTTACTGCACTAAACTAAGATTTATATATCTATACATCATGCTGTGCTGTTATTTTCCCCATTTTCAATGTTAAAACAACAATTTTTAATAATTTGGTGATAGTTTCTGCCTGAGAAATGCCCAAAATCATAAACTTTGAAGGCTGATTTCTCAAATATTGTTCTTTAAACAGCTGTATGTTTAAATGCTTGTACCTGTAACTTCTCAAGGAAATGTCAGATTTCAATTTTCAATTCTTTTACCATTTTACTTAATTTACTGTTGGACACTGTATTAATAACTAAAAATGAATGACTGGTTTGGCTTGTCTTTGCCACATTTCAAGATGGAGAGTGATTTTTTTTTTCACAATGAGAATTTTGCAATTTGTGTATTGAAAATATACAATATTTATGTGGTTGTATCATATCATGTCCTTGCTCCCAGAAACCAAAGGAAATGGTGCCATGTCACACCCAGCATCTGGCAGCCAACATTAAAATGATGCTTATAGATGATGTGGGTGAGTTAGTATGATGATAATATACATGCTAATTACCTTATTATTTATATACAGTGATTGTTGAAGAGAAAATAAATATATACTGTAGTTTATCTTGATATGTGTCAAATTTTAGATGCCTCTGTTTACCTTGCAATTACCAAAGTAAAAATGGAAAAAGAGAACAAATTAAAAAAAAAATGTTTTTAGTTTAATTTATTTAGTTAATAGCAAATATGATCAAGTGATGGATGTTGTTTATTTTGTGCTCAGATGGCGATGGGATGTATGAACTGGTCGTAGGTCACACCGACCGAGTCATCCGAGCTTACAAATGGATGGCCATCAATGAAGCTGTAAGTGTATCAAATTGTGTACAATATTCATCTCTCCCCAATGATTGTGGCTGACAGTAGTAACAATCATTAAATTATTGTCATCATCTTCATCCTTGAGGTTGGGGTTTCAACCCCTCGCTGTGCTCATCCTTGAGGTCGGGGTTTCAATCCCTCGCTGTGCATTTTACTTGTGTCCTTGAGCAAGGCACTTTATCTGCATTGTTCCTCTTCACTCAGGAGTATTAGTGTGTATCTGAGGAGGTTCAAGTGCAAAAATGCGCTGATATATTTCATGCAGAAAACTATAGATTATCCCCTTGACATTTTTTATTATTATTATTTTCAACTATATATCATCATAATCATCATCACCATCTTCATCTTCTTTATATATTTATCATCTTCATCACCATCATTGTCATCAACTTTAACATTTTCAGTGTCATCATCATTACAACCATTGTCATCGTCATCATTTCATCTTCTCCATCACTATCTTCATCAATGTTAACGTTCATTTCATTCATTATTTCCAGGCAATATAAAAAACAAAAAGCAAAGACACAACCTGATGATAACCTAAAGCAAACTTAATTACTATCAAGAGGTTCTCCAATCAGAAACAAGACAACAAACACACATAAGAAAATAGCAAGCTTAAATAAAAGAACCGCACAGAATTTTAAGAAAAATTTAAGAAACATGTCAAAATTTTTTTTTCTAAATGGTTACAAAGATGGTACTTTAAATTATGATTATTAATTAGTAGGTCTCTGACAGCAGGTGGTAAACTGTTCCAAATGTACGGAAAATAATTAAAGCATGAAAATTTATGGCAATAAAGATTTTTGGCATATAAGATTTTAAATCTAAAGTCATTGGCATGTCTGGTATTAATGTGAGGAAGGAGAACAGGGTTGACATTAAATTGATGATGTATGCACTTCTGATTTCATCATCATCGTCATCATTATTGTTGTCATCATCGTCATTATCATCAATTTTTTTATTTATTTGGTTTAAATCATTATCAACCAAACTTATTTTTTTGTAATGTATTAATTAATATAATGTTGATTTTTTTTGTTTATTTTGTACTTTTACAATCTCATGCAATTATTGTGTGTTGGTATATTTTTATATCTTAATATTTTATTAATATACATTGTTTGATTTTACCATTTAGGATTCAAGTAAACCAAGTTCTGGAAGTCTTAGGCTTATGCAGATGTGGGAGCCAGCTGGCCAGGTAACAATGCACATTATTTTATCATTTTATTCTAGAAATGATATTTGTTGAATAAAATTTAAGGTGTAAGACATTAGTTCTGACATGTATAAAAACTCATTTGTTATATTCAGAATATGCAGTACCTTAAATCTGATCATCACTTCAATCGATTACATTAAATTTAAATATAATGAGTAGAAGCGTAATAGTTTACACTTGCAAATATTATTAAGGTACATTTACACACTAGACACAATAAAAATGCGTTCAATGTTAAAGAATATTAGCGAAGTGATATATCGTTGTCATGTCATTATTGTATCTAGTGTAAATGTAGCATTAAATACACAATACACTACACTCTAAGGTACTGATATAATTATGTCCTGTTATTTATTCCTTGACGTCATACTAGATTGGTTCGATAGCGCTTCACCATCATGATGGTATTCCCAAGCTAGTGGCCTCCCAGCCCGGCTTCTGCTACGTGGAACTGAAGTGTAACTGGGTGGAGGACGGTAAAGAGAAACCTAAGAACGAGAACTCGGTGTTGATAGTCACTCACGCCATCTCAAGTGTGAAGGCTAGAAACAGCAGCATCACAACAGAAATAAGTGGACATCTTTCACAAGGTAAATACATAGTAGGGCATTAGTATACAAATATTGACAATCATAACATGAGGCTTATTAAGTAAGCCTAGGCCTAGGCTATACTTGGTGTGTACTATGTTCATTACTTATGCAGGTCTCATAGAATATATAAGACAAATATTGACTTCTCTAGGATTGGGAAACGGTGAAATCTATTGCCCTGAGGTGATACCGTAGCCTATCTTCTCAAGGGCAAAAGAGTATTATCCCATAGGGTAATATACTTTCTATTGCCTGCTTCTTAACCAATCAGATGCCTAGAATCTATGTATTCGATATTAATATATTCTATGATAAAATGTCAAAATTTGAAGTGATGAGGAGGTGGGATGAGGGGATTGGAGCATCTGTCCTCACACTCTCCCTTAGAGACAGTATGCCATCTGTGTCGGATTTCACACTACCTGTTTCTAAGAGAGCATCACATAGAGTGGGGTTGAATAGCTTGGTAGTTAAGACCTGCTTTTCAATCCTAGAGTCGTAGGTTCAATTCTTGTAATGATAACAGGATTTTTTCTCACGACCAAAACAACTTCATTTCCTAAGCCTCACAATGAGTCATAATGTAATGAGTCTATTTAGAGCATCTTTGTGTGTTTGTTTGTCTTTTGATGAGATTGTCACTTTGAAGAGTGCCTAAAGCTAAAGGGAAAAAAAAACATGACATTATAATACCTGTACTAATGAAAGCTGTTAAGTGATAGTAATGGCCATACAGTACATGTGGATGATTCTATTAATAATAATTTAATATGTGACAATGTCACCCAAAATGTTTTTTTTTTGTTATTTTTATTAAAAATGTAAATGTTTTTAAAACATGTAATTATGTATTAAATGATAGTAACTTAACTCATTTTGACTGGTTACTGATGATACAGATTTTATAGATGATTATATTCATTATGATGACATTAAGATATGTAATAATGATTGTCATAATTAAGATAAAGTTAATAATTCTTCAATGGTAATGTTAGTGATAATACTAAGAGTAATTACAATAATTCTCTTTAACAGGAACAAGTGTTGTTGATGAACATAAAAGTCAGCCAGACAAGTTTGTTCTCAGTTCATTAGATGGTAAGTTTTCATTTGTAGTTAACGGTGATAGTATAATCTAATCCAATCCTGTCAGGTCATTTATAAAGCACCTTTCTTTGCAGATATGAAACGCTGCACCCCATTTACTTAGGCACCTCACAACCTACAGCCATGATCATTGCCTAACCCATGCACAGAACAAGTGAACAAATTAAAAAAAAAAAAGCAGAGGCAAAGTTCATAATCAAATAAATAAAGCAAAAATAAATGAAATAAAAATACAAATGAAGATAATTAATTGAAGAGTTGAGCCTTTAAGTTAGACCTAAAGACAGCCACAGTAGGTGAAGATCGAATGTGCACTGGAAGGTTATTCCAGATGAGTAGCACCTGACACAGAAAAGATTTGTTACCAATACGCTTGTTAAATACAGGTTGATGAAAATTAACATACAAAGCAGATCTGGTAAGAATTTGCTTTTTACGTACAAGTAAAAAGTCAGAGATATAATGTGGGCATAGGCCAGACAGTGACTTGAATGCAAGGAATATTAATTTGAAATAAACACTTTGCTTAAAAAGCAGCCAGTGAAGTTCATGGAGGCGATGTGTGAATATGAGAGGATCGGATGTTGAAAATGAGACATGCTGCAGAATAATGACAGTTGAATATGTTTAAGTTTGCCAGCCTTGAGGGTTGCCTGCTTTCGTGCCAGTATGGCAGCGACACATAAGTATGTGAACCCAATGACAAAGAATCATAACGAATCCAGTAACTGAAAGGAAAGGCACTAGGCCTACATAAATGCTTACTAACATTACATCACTGTGTTGACAACAACAATATGAAGACCTGAATATCAAATCATTATACAGATCATTCAAGTAACATTCTTGTACTTCCAACATTTACAGAATAGATAAATATTAGTGCCTATTATTTATTACATTAAGATGATCATTATTGAAACCTTTAAAATAGGCATGCCTATTTTATTTTTGTTTTGTTGCATCTGCTAGTTTATGTAAGCCTGAGACAAAAGTCTCAGTTATACATAAATATTTTTTTCTCTGTTTCAATTTCATTTGCTTTGTACTTGTTTTGATATGGACATTGACTGAAATAAAGAGAAATTGAAAAAAAAAAATGAAAGTTCAATACTTAACTTTTTTTTTTATTGATTTTAGTGTATTTTTTTTTAACTGATTTAATGTATTTTTTTCAGATTGATATGTATTTTTTTTAAAGACTGATATAATGTATTTTTTAATGATTGATATAACATATTTTTATTTATATTTTTTTTGTATGTAATGTATTTTTTTAGATTTTGTACTGCAGTGTCCAATTTTTTAATAAAAACTAGAATGAAATGAAATTTGCATTAAAATTTTGAAATTTAGTGGCAAAATGAGATCCGTGCCCAGGTAATATTTTATTGACATTATTTTGCAGGAAACCTGATGATGATACAGGAAGATAAAATGGTGTGGTCATACAAACTTGACCATCAGCTGTTCTCGCTGACCACACTGGACATCACTGTAAGTTTAAAATAAAAGCCTATATTTATTTTATGTAATTTTCCCTATGATGTTATAAGCAAGCAAGGTTATCTAAAAAAATGCTTTTAAGTTAGCAAGATTATTCATTCAACGTAACATTTATTTCTCTTTTATTTATGTGCAACTTGAAATTAGAGTAAGCAAACCAAAATAATTAAAGCAAAAAAGATTATCCGATGAAAATAATTTAAGCAAATGACATTATCCATTGGAATTAAGATAAAGCAACTAAGATTATCCAATGAAATAACTTAAGCAAGCAAGATTATCAAATGAACTTAACTTAAGCATGTAAGCTTTGAAGATATAAGCAATGTTAATATAATGCATGGCCAGAAATACAAATATGGACTATAAATACACAGCCACCATTTTGCTTTAAGGAAATGCATTGTTGAATGGTTACACATGTTTCATGTACTTCCTCAGATATGGCCCTTTGGACAAAAAAGCAAATTTAGATTTTTTCATTTTGTTTCGATTTTTTGGCACAATACATAAAAGCAGCTTAAAATGACCCAAATATTTTTATAGGCATCTATGGTTTAGCTCCCTGAACCCTCCCGGCTCTCAGTTGGAACTGTCAGTTGGACTCCCATCAGACACCTGTCAGACTCCCATCAGATACCTGCCAGACTCCTATCAGACACCATACCTTCACACTGAAAATATTCTAGACCTACCACTGCCTGCCCATTGGCTCTCCCACTGCACACAAGTGTAGGGCAACTTACAGACTTATTTTATTATAATTATGATTCATTTTATTAGGATTGTTGTTTATTATTATTATTATTATTATTATTGTTATTATTATTATTATTATTGTTATTATTATTATTATTATTGTATTTATTAATTATATTTATTATTTATTATATTATTTTGTATTATTTTTTAATATTATTAGTATTAATGTTATTGTTGTTTATTAATTATTATAATTATTATTACTATTATATTATTTTGTATTATTTGTTAGTATTATTAGTATTATTGTTATTGTTTATTATTATTATTATTATTATTGTTATTATTATTATTATCATTAATTTACATTAAAAATGTTGTAATTTTTCAGGGAGATGGCAAAGATGAAGTGCTGTGTTGTGCTTGGAACGGCTTGACGTACATTGCTGACCAGGACAATAACATTGCCAATTTTAGATTTGAAGGCAACGTGTCTGCATTTTGTGCTGGTAGGTATCAGGTTTATGTACATTGTTGTTGCAGATCATATTCTTAATTGCTTATAGCAATGTATGGTAAAAAGTTCCTTTTTTAATGGAAGAAAGATTTTGTAGCTTTATTTTTATAATGCTGTATGTTGAGTGGGTTTCAGTCCCTGATCAGCTAATATATTATGGACTTATAATGCTTCTTTTTTAATGTAAATATCAACTGTAAATAATAACATGGTTCCCAAATTAGAATTAACTGTTTTAACAGCAGTTGTTTCCACTTCAACATTAGGTTTTCCCCTCACACATTAGGTTTTCCCCTCACATTACTTTCAATATTTATTCTTATTTTTTGTATTATTAATTGTATTAAAGTAGATGAATATCCTCTTTATCACCTGCAGGACTATCTAAGTGTATATATTTCTATTTATTTGTTGTGATTGTAATTGTGGCTAAAACAAGCCAAACCAGTCACTTGTCGCAATCGATGATGGTCAAAACATGCTGGAATGTCAAAATTTACGAAATCTATTCTATTGCACTAAACTAACCATTATATATCTATACATCATGCTATGTTGTTTTTTCCTCCATTTTCAATGTTAAAACAATAATTTTTAACAATTTGGTGATGGTTTCTTCCTGAGAAATGCCCAAAAACATAAACTTTTAACTCTGATTACTCAAATATTGTTCTTTAAACACCTGTATGTTTATATGCTTGTAACTTTATAAATGTCAGATTTAAATTTTTTTTTTTCCATTTCATAGCTCTCATTTTACAGTTTAATCCTTTATTATTAACCAGAAATTGATTTTTGCGACGAGTGACTGGTTTGGCTTGACTTTGCCACAATTGTTTTATGTTTTGAAGTCAACTCTTTAAAAGGCACACTCATTAATAAACAATGTTGAAAAAATTATAAATAAACATTTAAAGTAGTATGAACTGAATATAAAAAGTTTTTCTGTTTTTTTCTTCTTAGGAAAATATACAATAGATGGTCAAACTAACCCATGTTTAGTGTATGCAACGTTTGACAGCAAAATATATGTGTATTACAATGTCAAACTTCCACGAATCAATACAATAAATCTGTTTGATCTACTGGAATCTGATGATGATTATCTTGAAGCGCTTCGACGTCGCGGCATTGATGGTGAGTAAAGCCCTGACCAGACGATCAAATTTTATTTTGACAACAACATGTGGCATGCCTACAGTATAGTTGCGATGACATCACATTTTGACAATAATATATTTGCTTCATGACTATTTATGGGCATGCAACAGGTTTTTGTCATTTGGATTCAGTTCCAAAGAACCCCCTGCTGTTGTAAAGCACCATACTTCAAATTAAAGTTAATAATACTGTAGCTTTTTCCAAATATGGCTTAACCAATCACAACTGCCATTTACGTCATGCTTCTTATGCTTGGGAAGTACCTTGGGTTGGATAAATAAATATACATAATATTTTGTGTATTGTTATCTCTTTCTACATAAATGTTTATGTGGCCAAGGTTAGAATGCAATTTATTACTGGTATGCGTACAGTTCTGTATTATGATTAAAAGTTGTGATAAAACTACTATATATTTATTTAGTGTCTATTATTGTTTGTTAAGTAGTGACCTGTACCTCAATAACAAATCCATGTGTGTAGCATAAGCTTGTTTAAAGTCCTCTAATTCATTAAACGTATGTAAAGTCACAACAACAGCTACAAGTACTGTACTTTATCGGGTTAATTTAACAAAAATATTTAGCCTCACATGTACATGTGTGGGTCACTGTCTAAAACTAAAAGACAACTTGTTGGCCTTATTGAAAAAATAAAAACAGAGAAAGAAATATTTTCAATAGCCTCCTTGCTTTATCCCTTTATCAGAAAGTCTGAATACAAAACATGGAATTTGAATATTGTTTAGCCTAGTCACACAATATAAAAATTTTCATTAAACTGCAGCAGATTTTGTTTATTATTATTTCTCTCAATATTAGTCTTTTTCTTTAGGTATTTTTTTAAATTTTACTTAAAAAAATACTTTTAAAAATTACTTAAAAATGGGCTACTGATTTAAAAGTGTTTTTCCAATAAATATTCATTGCCATCATCATTATCATCATCGTTGTTGTCATTATCATCATCGTTATGATACATAATGATAAATAGTTGGATTTGTGTAGTGCAACATGTAAAAAAGCCTTTATGGTGATAGAGCTTTTTGAGTTTGATGAGAAAAAGCCCTATAAACTAAACCTACTCCTTAAACAAAAGGACGGTTGGTCCATGGCTCCAAGGAACTCATTCACCCTTTTTACTCCTTTTTTTTTTTTCTTGCTGATCATCATTATCATCATCATTATCATCATTATTTATCATCATTATACTGAAGTTTGCTTTCAGCGAAGTTTGCGGCAGTTCAGCGCAGCGGTTGAGGTTTGGGATTTCAATCGTAAGGCCATGGTTTTGAGTCTCTGCTGTACAGATTCACTTGTGTCCTTGGGCAAGGCACTTTAGCTACATTGCTTCAGTCCACCCAGCTGTATCAATGGGTACCAGCAAACTGCTGGGGACTAACCTGCGATGGACTGGTGTCCCGTCCAGGGGGAGTACAACTCTCATCCGCTTCACACTACAGAAACTGGGGATAAGCTCCAGCCCTATGAGCCCCAGTGGCTCGGAAAGGATTTAGTTTAGTTTTTAGTTGCTTTTATTATATCTTTAGGAATCCAACTAATTGTCAATTATTATTTGTTTTCCTATATTCCAGCGACAGATAAAGCAGCTCAAGCCAGACTTATACGACAGGTACTATATGGTAGTGGATCAAGTCCTGGAACCTGAAGTTAGTTATGCACAACTATGCCTTCCTTGCACTTAAGTAGACGAGCTCTGTCAGCCTCTGACGCTGCCTCGGGCTCAGAGATGCACCCTGTTTATAATTCCTAAAATCTGTGTTACTTCTTTGTGTCATGGGATCCAAAGGAAGGAAGTTTTCGTAAATAATAGGATAACATTTCTGCAGGAATAGTATTGATTATTCGTACAGTTATTTGCGGAAACACGGATGCCGTGTCAGAGGCATGTAAACACAGCTTGATGGTCTGTCACAAAGAGTTTTGTGAGTTTAAATTGAAAGACCAGAATAGAACAAACAATATATGTGGTTAAAAACAACAACACCCATCAGAATGAGTTTCTTGTGTGATAGAAGGACCAGAACAGAACATAAGTGAAGATTTAAACCAAGCAATTGCTACTCACTTTTTTTTAGTCATAAAAAGTCACAGGTCAATTTTGTAGTTACTGTTATATATTAGGTGGCAATTTATTTCACATGACAAACATACATGGATGCTCTGAGGCTGAGGAAGTGGATTTGTTTTGGTCATTTGAAAATAAATCCTCTAACAGGAATTGAACCCAGAATTACTGTCTAAAGTGCTACATTCTCCTTAATTATTCTTCACAAATGCATCTTACGACGGACCAATCAAACTCCGCCTGTGAGCGTTAGGCGACACAACATCATCTGGCGATCCATTGCGCGCATGTGATGGCGTTGTGTTCTCTATGGAATTTCGTATCGGCTGATGACTGGGGCACAGTGAGTGCTAAGTCACACTATGGGAAGAGGAGTCACATGTTTAGGATTAAAAAGGGAAATATCTTAACCAAGCCACAGCAGCACTCCAAATAATTGTACAATAAACAGATTGGTAGGATGTGATGAGTAATATTCTGGAACAATCTTAGAGGAAAAAACTTGAAAACCACATTTTGAGACACCACACTGTGGCCTTCATACTACAGTGGCTCAAGAGCAAAATATAAGAAGTGAGGTCTAGAAAACAAACCTCACTTCTGGCCAATCTTTCGCCCCACCCATGTTATTATTGCATTACTTTTTCATAAAGAATTTGTAGGCACTAATCATCAACGGTCAAATGGCCGGCAGCCTACACATTTCATAAATTCAACATTGAATCCAAGACCCATCATAACCTAGTAATACGCCACTGTACATTTTACCACATTTAATTGCACAATATACCAACAATATTTGGGGAAAAAAGAGTGGTTTATGTTTTATATTGACTGAATGAAAACCAGTTTTAATTGCTATCATCAAATTATCTTTATGTTACCATAATAACAGTCTTTTTCAAGGCAATCTTTGAGTCTGCATTTATTTTACCTCTTTAGGATCAGCCCATAGAAAATTGTTTTCTAAAACTCCATGACACAAAACATATAGTGGCTATAAGCCTTACCTGATTCTCCTGTTTAAAAAAATGATAATGTTCTTGTAATCAATTAAAGTTTTGAAGATTTTCATGGATGGATAGATAGATATATTCTGTGATAACCCATGAAAGTCTGAGAAAAAGTTATTTCCAGTGAATGGTTTTCCTTGTTTACTTTTTACGTCTCATCCGAAAAATGGTGCGGTATCGTAACTTGCATTTCAGCCCTCCAGCTAAAATACAAGGAGAGAAGCGATGGGAATTGAACCGGGAACTTATAGATTTCCACTGTTCAGCGATCACACAGTGGCTATATTTGTTTTTCGTTTTGTTAGCTCATTAAGTTTTTGTAGTTTCCTTTTCTAAGGGCTGGAGGCCTATAAAAAATCAATAAATGTCCTAGACCAAGTATTTAGGAACGAACAAATGGCTGCCACCAGTTTAGCCGACTGAGCTAAACAGCTTTCACTATTCATAAACAACACAAGCTCTAGGATTCTGCAAATAAGGCACGTGAGTGGAGATAAAGTTACGCCAGGATATCCCGCAATGGTCTTGCTGTTAACTTAATATTCTTAGCTAGGATTTAAGGCCCATTATTGTAGCTTCTAGGTAATCAGGACTGGGGTACGCATTAATCCTGTTCAATTGCTAGAGTTTAGTTGGCTTGGGAATCATGTGATAATGTTTAATGTGTTTATACATAGGACCCAATAAATATATCTCAGAGCGCTTTATTGGAATACGTCAGCAAGAACAATAACAAACCAAATCTAATAAATCAATCCTAACTCTAACCAAAGAAACTAAGGAAATACTCTGAAATATCAGAGCAGAACTGAAACAAATCGCAATCTCCCATCACCTGATGAACGAATAAGTTTGAAATATAAATTTATGATAGCTGCACATATTTTATATAACTACCATCACTGTGGCAATGAAAGTGTGAGAAATAAAATAATTTGTTATCTTCTAACATTTATATAATGTAAAGCTTTTTTTTGTTGTTAGCCTTGCACACACTACATATCATATGTTGGACGAATTTAAATAATAGTTATGACAATGTCTATTTTAAGTGGATGGAATTCACCGAGTGGTTCAGATGCTTGATTTATTAATTGATTGCCTTTTTAAATCATGAGCCTTAGCCAATAACAACTCTACTTAAACATGAAATGTCTTGACGATCAGTTCCTTATAAGACGTTGGTTATTATATCATCGAGGGTCTCGAGTCCCATTAAGAGGAGACTTCGTTCAAGCTCGAGTATGAGGGAGGGTGGTTACAAGTGATCAGCTCTGCATGCCCCAAGTATCATACACCCATGGACCTATTAATAAGATACCTGTGGAGTATCAAAGGTCCTTATCTGCTCTCGAATCTCCAAGCCTCAATGGTGGCGCTACGGGGGTGGGGGAAGGGTAAATTTTCCCCAGATAATTTTCTACCCCTACTAATTTCTGCCGGAAATTGAACATTGCAAGATTGGTCAACAAAATGTATTGCCCCTATAGGTCAGTCTGTCATATCAAGAAGCGTTACCACTTTAATGTGTGTTGTGATAAATTATAATTGTATCTCTGGTCTGCTATGGGAAAAAATATTTCCCCCCCCCCCAACCAATTCAAATTTCAGACGTTGGCACCGCCACTGCCAAGCCCCGTACTTGGTTACTGTATACAGTAACAACTATCTTTACTTTATCTATGAGAGCATTCAGGTTCCGCAATGATCAGCTGTCCATTCCCAAAACATCATAACAAATTTGGCAAAAAAAATAAGGGTCTCATATGGCACTCTCTAAGTCTTATAAAGAAACTTGCGCTTTGAGCTAGCATCAAGGCCCAAATGATCAACTTTGCTAATTGGATCATTGCCTTTTGAAAATACAGGCCCGTAGCCAGGGGGGGTTTTTATGGTTCGGGCGAACCCCCCTTTTCTAGCGAACCCCCCTGTTTTCTAGCGAACCCCCTCGAATTTTTGAATGAGTCCCACCCGTTTTTAAATTGTAGCC